CCCCCCCATCCCAACCTCCCTGTCTCCATCCCAACCCCCACACCCCCCCTATCCCAACCCCCACACCCCCCATCCCAACTCCCCACACCCCCCATCCCAACCCCCACACCCCCATCCTAACCTCCCCACACCCCCCATCCCAACCCCCACACCCCCCAAAAAAGCTAAATCACATAATAATAATAAAAATAAAACGCCCCCAAAAAGTTAATTCTTCTCTTTAAATCGGAATAAACGGGTGAGTGGTGACGCAAGCCCTGAATCCACACCATTACTCGCTCCACCAACCCTTGAGGAGTGTCTCGTTCTCTCGGTATCTCGTTATCTTGGTATCTCGTTATCTCGTTATCTCGTTATCTCGGTATCTCGTTATCTCGGTATCTCTGTATCTCGTTATCTCGTTATCTCGTTATTTCGGTATCTCGGTATCTCGTTATCTCAGTATCACGTAATCTCGGTATCTCGTTATCTCGTTATCTCGGTATCTCGGTATCACGTTATCTCGTTATCTCGGTATCACGTTATCTCGGTATCTCGGTATCACGTTATCTCGGTATCTCGGTATCACGTTATCTCGGTATCACGTTATCTCGGTATCACGTTATCGGTATCTCGGTATCACGTTATCTCGGTATCTCGGTATCACGTTATCTCGGTATCACGTTATCTCGGTATCTCGGTATCACGTTATCTCGGTATCTCGGTATCACGTTATCTCGTTATCTCGGTATCACGTTATCTCGGTATCTCGGTATCACGTTATCTCGTTATCTCATTATCTCGGTATCACGTTATCTCGGTATCTCGTTATCACGTTATCTCGGTATCTCGTAGTACTGGAAATACTCTGTAATACTCAACGCTACAATATCCTGACCATAGGAGTCTCATAAACTCCCTCTGTGGCCTCTACTCAATAATCTATTTTCCTCTACAGCTCACAGGATAAGTATGGGGTGCACAACAAACTAGCTGCTGTCTGTGGCAATATGAAAACATATATATAAACCAAAGGAATATTACACCACTTGACTCACGGTGACGTCACTGCTCCAGATGACGTCACTGCTCCAGATGACGTCACCGCTCCAGATGACGTCACTGCTCTAGGTGACGTCACTGCTCCAGATGACTAATTAATGCATATCAAGAGTAAGACCATTATCTCAGGTAATTACCACAACTAATATAGTATTGCTGACGGATCTATGTTTTCTAGGTAATTATTGAGTAATTATATACCAAAAAACAAGTATAGGACATGAGTGTGTGATAACGATGGAGGTAATTATAGTTGGTGATTGAAGAAGGAATGAAAGCTGTCTCCATTAATTACAAGAGTAGGACGTTCCAGCGACTCCCTAGGGATAGATGAGGATATTGAGGCTAGAAGTGACAGACAGACAGACAGACACACAGACAGACACACAGGCTTTACACGAACAGACGAACCAGACACACGAACAGACAGACAGACACACACACACACACACACACACACACACACACACACACACACACACACAGACAGACAGACACACACACAGACGAACGAACACACACACAGACAGACGAACGAAGACACACAGACAGACCCAGACAGACACACAGACAGACAGACAGACACACACACACACACACTTACACACACACAAACAGACAGACACACACACAAACAGACAGACAGACAGACAGACACACACACAAACAGACAGACAGACAGACAGACCAGAAGATCAAGACGATATGAGATACACCTGACAACAAAGGTGAATGATACTAAACACGGGTTATAGGTAATGCATACATAGGTGCCATTAGAATATGACCTTAATATACATAATCTCTTAAGGTGCAATTAGTTAATATGTTGTTTATTATTGTGTGTGAAAAAAAAGTATGAATTTTTTATTTTACTTTTTTTTTTTGTCTTTCTGAATTATATGATGGTCTCTCTCTCTCTCTCTCTCTCTCTCTCTCTCTCTCTCTCTCTCTCTCTTTTCTTTCTTCCTTCCTCTCTCTATTTCCTCTCGTTTTCCTTTCTTCCCTCTCTCTCTCCTTTCTTTTTCATTCTCTCTCTCTCTCTTTCTTTCTTTCTTCGCTTCCTCTCTCTGTATTTCCCTCTCTCGTTCCTTTCTTCCCTCTTTCCTCTCTCTCTCTCTCTCTCTCTCTCTCTCTCTCTCATCACTGGGAAGAACAAACCTCATCAAGTCTCACCTGGGGAGAGTGATGAGAAGTGCTTGAAAATCTAACAGTGAAATGAAAAAGAATGGTTAATTACCTTTAATCATTTATTTAATAATAAAGAAAGCAAGACGCTATTAAATACAGATTGAAACACAATACCAAGGACTAAGAGAGAGAGAAGAATGATGATGAGAATAAAGGAGGTTAGTGAATGAGCGGAAATATTTAATAAAGACAAAGTTAAGTAAGGTAGATTAAGGATAATCTGGCAGGAACGGGAAGATTGAAGAGGAGGCTGTATCTAAGAGTCTTTATGCCTTGAGACTCGCTAGATGATGTATCGAAAGAGTTGGGGGGTCGGGGGTAGGGGTGGGGTGAATTAGGGTAAGTGGTGGAGTGGAAGTGGAGTTAAGTCTATGATTAATATTTACGAAAAGGGAAGAAGGGGATTTTTTGGAATTTGCCCCCACCTCTCTCCTCCTCCTCTCCTCCCCCCCCTCTCTCTCTCTCTCTCTCTCTCTCTCTCTCTCTCTCCTTCTTCAGCTCCTCCTCCTCCTCTTCTTCCTACTTGTTCCCTTTGACAAGTAAGGTTATATTACGTTAGGATTGGTTCATGGATTAGATTCGATGATTTGTAAATACATGAACACACATATGAGTACACACACTCATTCACTCACTCTCTCTACACACACACACACACACACACACACACACACACACACACATACACACACACACTCATGCTTGGCTTATTATTATTTGAACAGAAGCGCCGACACTAACCACGTCTTTACATATCAGTCAAGCATATCACTAATTCCAGGCCTTTGATACCCCACTGATGATTGCTGTGTGTTTATTGGCGTAGTTTAAGACATAGTACAGCGTTAAACAAAAAAATTTCTCCCTGGGAATAAGTCTCCGAAACTATGTACAGTCCCCTTCACTTGTGCGTTTACAGGGGATCGTCAGGTTTTGTGCAGTGTGGCAGACTATGTTTATTTACAGTCGACACAAGGAAACTCGTAATAGTAAACATGGTATAGAATCAAATTAAAACAATATTAAAACAAATATCTCAAAGATAATAATTTGTGGAATGTTTATATAACGAGTCCCTGTAAACGCAGAAGTGAAGGGGACTGTACACTGACTGTTTTCTGGGGCTGATGTGTTTTTTACTTCACTGGTGGGTCGAAACTGTTTCATTTTAGGAGGGAGTGAATTTTAGACCCAAATTGATTTAATTTAATACAGTTGAATCGACTTTATTTTGAAGCAATGAAAATCGAATCAACTGAACCTATCTTTAACTTAATTGAAGGTATTGGAACCCATTCTACATTTTTACAAGTCAATTTAATTTTACAATTTTCTTTGCTTGACATCCACAATAAGATCATCCAGCTTAATTCATCATCTACAATAAGACCACCCAGCTTAATTCGACATCCACAATAAGATCATCCAGCTTAATTCAACAACCACAATAAGAGCATCCAGCTTAATTCAACATCCACAATAAATCCATCCAGCTGAATTCATCATCTACAATAAAACCATCCAGCTTAAATCAACATCCACAATAAAACCACCAAGCTTAATTCAGCTTAAACTCAAGAGCTAAGACAAAGAAACCCTCAAGATGGCCAAGACATTCCTCAGCATCTTACAGACTTGGACAGTGTCTTGAAGTAAGGGGGGAGTGGGCCAAGGTCTGATTGAACTGGTCCACACATCTGCTGCCCAACCAACCAGAGCCAGCACACACACACACACACACACACACACACACACACACACACACACACACGCACACACACACACAGACACACACACACGCACACACACACACACACACACACACACAGACACACACACACACACACACACACACACACACACACACACACACACACAGACATACACACACACACACACACACACACACACACACACACGCACACACACACACACACACACTAGCTCTCCTCCTACCTTGGTTCAGATAAAAGATGGCAAAAGCAACTCATTACAAGACTTGGATGGAGGCAAGATATCCAACACGCCATCCTTTTTATTTATTTAAGGTCATTGAAATTGAAATTGAAACAGCAGCCAACTTTTATTTCTTATCTTGACCTCATTATAAATATATAGTTATCCCTTATGATATATTTTTGTTTATCATATTAGGTCAGAAGCTCATCTAACAGCCCGTTATATGGAGGTTTTAAATTTAACATCCCCCTCGATATAACGGACTTACACTCCCCCATATAGTCCATTAAATAGAGGTTTTAATGTACGTCACTAAAGTAAATACTGAACACCGTCTTCACGCCTATATAATTAACTTCAGGTGTAACGGAGAACAGGTTAAGTAAACTCAGGAATTTGTGCAGGAAAAAAAAACACTTACCCCATAAAACCCAGACATCGACTCACTCACTGAAGACGGCGTTGTTATCACGAGAAACTGAACAGAGTGTGGAGGAATGCTTGGCTTACTGAGAGAGAGAGAGAGAGAGAGAGAGAGAGAGAGAGAGAGAGAGAGAGAGAGAGAGAGACAACTGCTGGAGAACACAAGAGAAGAAGTTCGTTCTCAACTTGTCAATATATGAGAGACAAGGTCGAGCAGCGTCTCTCTCTCATCAAAGGAGGTCATGTTAAACGTCCTGCCTGTGGTCACCTGTGTGTGTGTGGCGGGCATGACGCACCTTTCGTCCATCTCAGGGATATGACCTCGTTAAGGGAAGGGCATCATCGAGGGTATAAAGTGACGCCAGTCGTCCCGGATGAGCACAGTACCCAAGCTGATCTCGTCCACCTCCTCCCGCCCTCCCACACACACACTCACGCACCGCTGCAATGGCCAAGTTCCTCTCCGTGTTTGTTCTCGGTAAACATCACCAAAATGTTCTCGTTTGCATCGCCAGCTTCGACCTGTAGTCTGTTTATAGTGAGGGCGCGAGCTTTACTCTATGTTACGTGTGTAATGTTGTCACTTGAAGGTTCTCTCTCTTTATTTAATGTTGATCTGTATGTAATAATAATAATGACGTTCAATTATTCCTCCACTGGAAGCCTTCCTTATTTGTACTGACCTGAACTGTTTCCCCACAGCCTTGTTGGGAGCCTCCCAAGCTGATAAGTTATTCACGCAGTCTCCTCCTGCCTACACCTACGGCGCCCCCGAGCTGAGATCAGCCGCCTCCAGCCTGGTGGAGGAGGAAGACCCCATAGCCGCCCTGGCCGCCCTCATCCCCGGCGGCGGCGTCCCTGGTGAAGACTACCCGATCCTGGCCTCTGTACCCGACACCGGCTTCTCCTGCGAGCAACAGGAGTTCCCAGGTTACTTCGCTGACACCGCCGACGAGGCCGGCTGCCAGGTCTTCCACATCTGTCAGTTCGACGGCCGCCAGGACTCCTTCCTGTGTCCCAACGGCACCATCTTCAACCAGCAGTACTTCGTGTGTGACTGGTGGTTCAACGTGGACTGTGCCGCCTCACAACAGTTCCGTAGCCTCAACGCTGAGATCGGCAAGATCCCTGAGGACGCTGCCGCTTCCTTCCGCAGTAACGTTGTGGCGCCCAGCCAGCAGTACGGCGTGCCTGAAGAGCGTCAAGATACCCCAACAGTACCCCCAGCTCCCATCAACTTCTACAGCGCCCCCAACAGGTTCTAATACTCACCAACTACTGTAGTATGGACGAGAATTACCCATCGACCTAGACGCCGAACAATATAGACCGCCCCGTGAGCCGCCATCTTCTCTCACCACAACACAAAAACGAAAAAAAAAATCCCTCCTCTCTCCTCCTCACTTGTCTTCTCGCTGTCCTTACACTGTACACTGTCGATCAACCTTTAATTTATTATCACGAGAATGTAAACTATTGATCACTAGTAAATAAAAATAATCTATATAATTGTTTCGTCTCGTTATCCTGAACCTGAACTGAACCTGTTACTAATTCCTCTTGTTCCTCTTCTTCTCTTCCTTCTTCCTCTTCCTCTTCCTATCCCCTCAATCCTATCACCCACCTATTTAATTAACTCTTATGCCATAATTACTAACATAACAGCATAAAAAAATATTTCCCTCACGTCGCAGTAAATAAGGAAGAAGATGATAATAATGGTGGGAATAATAGAAAGTAAATAAATAATGGAAGAACGGAAGAGGGAAACGATGTTAAATGAGTTTAAAGATGATATGGTTATTACCTGTCATTAGGGTGTAATTAATAAGACAGGTAATGAGATGATGTCATTAGTCCCTTCACCTGTAGTTTTGTAGATTAGCTGACATCACGAGGGAGGTATGATATGATAGGGGAGAGGTTGTATGACATCACCTGGAGGCAATGTGAAGCCTTGACATGACAGGGGAGCGGTTTTATGACATCACCAGAGAAGCAATGTGAAGCCTTGACATGACAGGTAATCTATGACGTCACCAGAGAGGCATGACATGACAGAGGGACAATTTCAGTACACACCAATGACAATAACACCTCCAGAGACCCTACCAAGCCACGGGTTCGGATTCAGGTATGAGGAGGATTCGAACCCTCATAAAAACAAATAGTATACGCCTGGGAGTTCAGTCAGCCAGTCAGTCAGTCAGTCAGTCAAGTCAACACAGGTGAGTGAGATAATTAACAGGTAAACCCCTCACCTGTACCAGCCCAGAAAATTACTCCTATAGATAGACAGGTAGATTGAGATCGATTTAGAATTGCAGAGGAGACACACACACACACACACACACACACACACACACACACACACACACACACACACACACACACACACACACACACGAGACCGTATACCCTGTTACTTCCGCTTATTATCCCCTCCCCCCTCCCCCCCCCTCATCTCTGTCAAGGATATGGTATTATGACACAGTATATAGAGGCGTGGATTCCTCTTACTCGGTTAGTGGAGTTGTGATCTCCTTTGTCGCCGCTTCCGTCACCAACTCACAGACACTCACTCACCGTCGAAGCCATGGCGAGCCTCTTACTTCTTCTACTGGGTGAGACTCCTGTACTGTGGGGATTTTGTTGTGTTTTAGGGGAAGATTCTAAGGTTTTTATAGTGTTGGGGGAAGATATGGGGGATATTTTTTCTGTGCTGGGGAGAATTTAGGGGATTTTTTTCTTTTGTGTTCGGGAAAGATTTAGGTTTTTTTTTTCTTCCTGGTGGGGAAATATAGTAGTTTTATCCTTTGGTTAGTGACGACCAAATAGCTGGAGGTGTTTCTGGTGATATGAGATAGTTTTATACTGGAAATAATGACGTTTAACACCAGGTTACATCCCACAGTTGTGATGGGAGGCAGAAGCTACACTAGGATGGCTCAGGGGCTGGTTTACGCAGAGACAACCGCCTTTAGTGACGCCTATTACCAGGACCCCATAGCCGCCTTGGCCGCCAGCATCCCCGGCGGCGGCGTCCCTGGTCTAAACTACCCGATCCTGGCCTCTGTACCTTACACCCGGTTCTCCTGTGAGCATCAAGAGTGTCCGGGTTATTACGCTGACACCGCTGACTTGTCCCGCTGTCAAGTCTTCCACATCTGTCAGTATGATGGCCGCCAAGACTCCTTCCTATGTCCCAACGGCACCATCTTCAGCCAGAAATACTCAGTGTGTGACTGGTGGTATAATGTGGACTGTTCCTACTCCAAAAAGTTCCTCGCGGCACAACACTCCAAAAGTATTGTCTCCCAGAACTTTAACTCAGTGCGTAATGGTGTTAATGGTGTTAATGGTGTTAATGGTGTTAGTGGGTACAGTAGTGGTTTTGGATCCAGCACAACTCTCCATAGTTCTGATTTATCGAGCTCCTACACCTTTTCTAGTTCTCTAAACCCTGTGACTGACACCTACCAACCACCCCATCAGACGACCTCATTAACTATCAACGACATGTACACCCCATCACACCATATCTCGAGTGTAAGTGACGTGTACCAACTTCCCCATAACCAACCTACACTACCCCATGAACAGATCTACGTCACCCCTACCCATGATCCACACCCAGAACACCTCACTCACCTCCACAACACCCCATCTTTCTCACCTGTGGGGAGGAACAACATCATTCACGGCACAACTAACAACCTCTCACCAAACCAAATGACGAATATATACGAAACGACGAAACAAAATCGACCTCACACGCACGAAATATCTCATGGGTCACCTTCAGGGCTTAAAGTCACAGAGATATTCCCTAATAGTGGTAACCCAGAGTATAATAATCAAGTCAATGATGTGTATACCACTGGTGGCTATAACTCTGAACCCTTGCAAGGAATGATAGAGACTTACCAGGGTCAAGTTTCTCCCTCATTTACTGTTTCGAAGGTCTATCAGGTTACACATGACACGGCGCCATTAGCTGTCATGGATCCCTTGGCTATCACGGATATCTATCATTCCCCTCAAGAAATTATCCCACTAACTGTCACGGATATTTACCAGTCTCCCGTTAACAATATCCCCTCGACTGCCACGGATAACTACCAGGAACACCATAACACGTCCCCACTATCAACACCTGAGCTACACGACTCCTCCAGTAACATTGAAACAATCCTCGAGGTAAATGAAATCTTTGGTTCTTCACATGAATTTACTGCAGCTCCTGACCTCAACGAGATCGTCACTACTCCTCTCTTCCGTGATTCTGTGAGGAATTTATCAAGGCCGTATGAACAACCTCTCCACAGTGTGCTACTCCTCCAGAAGGCCATACCGTTGACAATACAAATGTCTCCTCTCGTGTCTGATGGGACTAAGACATTCACGTTTAAAGCAAATTCTCCATTACGGTCTTCATCTTCTACACGCTCTGATGGGTCTACAGCATCGACATTCAGACCATCATTACTCTTATCTCCACGTTCTGATGGGTCTACAGAGTTTACGTTCAGACCTAGACCATCCATTCTCCCAGCTTCTTCTCACAGTTCTGATGGGTCTTCTATATTCACAATCAGAGCCAAATATTGATCATCAGTCGACAAGAAAATATCTGCCACTCAGAAGCTTTATGGGTGATGGCAACTATTGATAAGGAACGTTCTTATCAGCCCCCAAAAAATACGATATCTTTATCTTTTAAATACGATAACCTTTTCTTTTGTCTCGATACTATTGTACTCAAAAGGTTAAGTCATCGTACTCAAAAGGTTAAGTCATCGTACTCAAAAGGTTAAGTCATCGTACTCAAAAGGTTAAGTCATCGTACTCAAAAGGTTAAGTCATCGTACTCAAAAGGTTAAGTCATCGTACTCAAAAGGTTAAGTCATCGTACTCAATAGTCTACTGCTCGTACAAAAAGTTTTTACTCTTTGAATAGAATGGTTTAACCCATTGAGAATAATGGTTTAACCCTTTGAGAATAATGGTTTAACCCTTTGAGAATAATGGTTTAACCCTTTGAGAATAATGATTTAACCCTTTGAGAATAATGGTTTAACCCTTTGAGAATAATGGTTTAACCCTTTGAGAATAATGATTTAACCCTTTAAGAACAATGATTTAGCCCTTTGAGGATAATATATTTAATCCACCATCCTCAAAGGGGTTAAACCATCATCCTCAAAGGGGTTAAACCATCATCCTCAAAGGGGTTAAACCATCATCCTCAAAGGGGTTAAACCATCATCCTCAAAGGGGTTAAACCATCATTTCTAAAGAGTATTCTCATTCTGCAGTTTACAACCCAACGTTAATCTCATCAGGAAACACCTTATCAGTTCTCCTCTAAATATATCCATCCATCCATCCATCCAGACAGACAAACAGACAGACAGACAGACATACAGACATACAGACAGACAAACAGACAGACAGACAGACAGACATACAGACATACAGACAGACAAACAGACAGACAGACAGACAGACATACAGACAGCCTCACTCTTGTGCCCTTACATAGAGGAAAGACCTTAACAGTTCCATATATGCAGAATCTGTTTTTCAGGGAGTCAGCCAAATTGTACCTGATTGTAATAATGTGAGAAATAACTGGTATTCATACATCATACATCATACATCATACACGATACATAACATACACAGGGGAAATACATATACAGTGGAGGTTCATACATATACATATTGTTTGTATACAGAAATTATTATGTATTATGTATCAGTAAAAGGTGTCAGGTATTTCTCTCTCTCTCTCTCTCTCTCTCTCTCTCTCTCTCTCTCTCTCTCTCTCTCTCTCTCTCTCTCTCTTCTACCTATACTCTTACTTGCTCTAGCCAATTATAAAACAGCTCTCCTTTACTCTTGCTCTGATTGGTGGAAATACAGAACTTGGCCAGGTCAGAGGTCACTTCAACAGGTAAATGACTACAATTACCTGGACATTAATTAATTATCAAAAAAGTTATTATAGTTTAATAATTATATAATTTGTTATACTTTCATGTAATCAAAAATATAATTAAGGTAAATATGATAATTAGAGAAGAGATTATAGACTTAAGTACTTAATATAATTTCATGTATATATAATTACTATTTAGTCTTGTTATATAATTATAGCATGTAAATAAACCCCAGATAAGTGATGAATAAAATATACCTAATTAATTGGTTTAATTTTATCCTTAGATGAATTAGTGAATTAATTCGTATTGAAGGTAAAGCAAAATAAAATGTGGGTGTAAATACTGAGAGAGAGAAAGAGAAAAAGAAAAATGTAGTAAACTGATTTCAATTCATTCAATCAATCTTACATAATCGAAAAAAATACGTCTTCACCTATCTAACCGATTTTAATTAACTAAATCAGTCTTATATAATCGAGAAAAAATACGTTTTACATCCATATAAACTGATGTCAATTAAATAAATCAGTCTTACATAAATACGAAAAAAATAAAATCCATTTCGTAACCTCATTTTAACTAGGGCAACACAACATGGCCGCCCAAGACAGAGGGAGTCCCGCCCACCTACTGTGCCATCACCCCGCCATTAACCAGGACTCAGAGTTGGGGTGTGAGAGGTGAGGGGGTGAGGGGGTGAGGCGAGGGTGAGGAGTGGGGTGAGGAGTGGGGTGAGGAGAGGAGAGGAATGAGGAGGGAGGAGGATTAAGGTTGAGGGAGGAAAGGTGATGAGGGGTGAGGATTAAGGGTAAAGAGGGGACGGATGAGGGGTGATGGATGAGATGGTAAGGGTTAGGGAGGTAAGGGGTGAGAAGAGGACGTGAGGGGTGAAGAGGGGTGATGAGGATGGGGGAGGGAGGTTTCTGAAGGCAGAAGGGGAGGGAGCATGGTGGCTAAACAATGACGTCACTTTCGTCTCCCGTGTTGGTCGACAAACCGTGCGACATTTTACCTCTGCTGCACGCCGCGTGCTGCTGCCTAACACCTTCCATCACGCCTGCTTTCCATCACGCCTACCTGCCATTACGCCTGCTGCCTCTTCTATCTATTGCTTGCCGGCCTTCATCCGCCTGTCTCCTATCCTATTGCTTGCCGACCTTCCTCACGCTAATCTCCTCCTATCCTATTGCCTGCCGGCCTTCCATCACGCCTGTCTCCTCTCCTATCCTATTCTTGCCTGCCTTCCATCGCTGTGCATATCAGTAGCGCGGCCTTCCATCACGCCTGTCTCTCTCCTATCTGGCTGGCATATCGCCTTGTACTTCTTCTACTACCTGGCTGGCCTTCCATCATGCCTACCTCTCTTTACCTCCTCTCCTAGCCTGCTGCTTGCATCTTCTCCTCTGATTCTATCCCGTCTCTTACCTCCTATTCTATCCTAACTTAATGTTTCTGTTCCACTTTCTGACTACCTTAACCTAACCTAACCTAACCTAACCTTAACCTAACCTAATCTTTAACTAGTACAGATACAGGAATAAACTACAGGTACAGGTATAAATTACAGGTACAGGTATAAATTACAGGTAATTTCCCAAGTAGTTAACTGTATCAACAACTTCTGCCTTAACCCAGAGACGAAGAAGAAAAAACACCAAAAAAATTCTCGGACATCAGCTGATACGACTGAGAATTGTTGATGTTATACCTTAAAAAGAAAACGGAGAAATGAAAGAAAATGTAAGAAATTCCTATTGTTGGCGTAGAGTGTGTGAGGGAATGAGGGAGGGTGTGTGAGGGAATGAGGGAGGGTGTGTGAGGGAATGAGGGAGGGAATGAGGTAATGAGGGAGGGTGTGTGAAGGAATGAGGTGAAGTAAGTGAGTACGTAAGGTAAAAAGAAAGACGAAATGAAACAATGACTAAAGACTTCACCTGAACCTATATTACGCAATAGATATGGACCCCCTAAAACAGTGATGACGTCAAACTAGGTCAACCAGGAAGCATTTGACCCTGAACGAGGTCACCTGAATAGTCCCATTCTCTCTCTCTGGCCTGGTCTACCCTGTTTACCGAGGTGTGTGGAGTTGTTTGCAGACGATTTTCAGAGCTGTCTACTCCCTGGGCTAAAAAAATTACGAGTTTTATATTTTTATGGAGACTCTTGATGTACTCCGTGTAAATAGCGCTTGTGGTTCCAGTAATTTTTTTTTTTTTTTATTATTTTTGCTAGTTATTTTTTTTTATTTGAGGTTAATATGGTGATTTGGGGCTGTTATTGTTATTATTATTATTATTATTATTATTATTATTGTCATTCTTCTTATTATTATTATTGTTGTTTTGTTTTTATTATTGTTAATGTTGTTGTTACTTATAGTATCAAATTTGTACTGATATAAACCTAACCTAACTAATCACACTAACCTAACCTAACCTAATCTAACTTAATTCCTTTTCTCTGACTAAATAAACTCTTTCAATTTCAATCTCAATTTCCCTCCACCAGTGAAAAAAAACATACCGTAGAAAACCCAAGTCATGATTAATGTAACTGAGGAAATTGTTTGGAAAAAAAACACATCAATAAACCAGAAACCTTAAAACAGATTTTTTTTTTCGATACATTATTTACAATTTATCAGATAAGAAATATATTTACAAAAGATGTTATTGTTTGGAGTATGAGTAAATCTATTGTGGTTGGTGATTGGTGATTGGTGGATGGTGATTGGTGGATGGTGGATGGCGGATGGTGGATGGTGGATGGTGATTGGTGGTTGGTGATTGGTGGATGGTGATTGGTGGTTGGTGGATGGCGGATGGTGGATGGTGGATGGTGATTGGTGGTTGGTGGATGGTGTAAGTAAAGGTTGGAAATTAATTCATAAGTTACCTGAGAGTCAACCAGGGTCACTAGCACAGGTGTGTGATGGCTGGGGAGTAAGGGGGGGTGAGGGAGGGTAAGGGAGGTGGTGGGAAGAGAGGTGGAGGGGAAGGGGGAAGAGGAAGAGGAAGATGGAAAAGAAGAGAGAGGGAAAGGAAGGCTGGAGAGAGGAGAAATATGGAAGGACAGAGAGGACAGGGGAAGAAAGAGATGAGAGGAAGATGGAAGAGAGAAGGAGAGTGGGAGATAGGAGTGGAAAGGAGAAGGCGAGAAAACATCCAAGAAAGTAAAGACGGAGGAACAGAAAGAAGAGAAGAGGAGGAGAAGAAAAAGGAGGAGGAGGAAGAAGGAGGAAGAAGTGAAAGTCTGGGGATAATGAGAGTTTAATGTTATTTCAACTCTAGGTTACTAATGGCTGTCCAATACATCTCTCTTTTCAGTATTTTGTATTATATGACTTTCAATAAGACACAATTTTGTATCAGGTATTAATGGGTAGTGGTAATGTGTGTGTGTGTGTATGTGTGTGTTTATTCGTGTTTGTGTGTGTATGTTCGTGTTTGTGTGTGTATGTATTTGTGTTTGTGTGCGTCTGTTTGGTCAAGCCTCGACCTCACTCTGGGAAAGGTCACGGCAGGGTTAGCTCCCGAGGGATAATTATCAGATATGCCCAATGCTATGTGTGGTCTGGAGAGGACCAGGGAAGAATTGGAGAGGGCCAAGGAAGAAATAAAGAGGGCCACGTTGGAGAACCTGAAATTAAAGGAAAAGATGGCGAGGATGAAGGAAGAGGTGGGACAAGGAAAGCCAATGTCTGACGAAAACTCAAGCGAGTGGAAGGTTGTGAGGAGAGGGAAGACCAAACTGGTGATGAAAAAACACACCAAGGATACGTCAACAACGTCATCAACAGCTAAGTGTACCAACTCGTTTACTCCGTTGATAGACGAATTGGACGTTAGTACAGTCAGGGACAGGGCTGACAAGGAA